TTTTTTCTCATTGTTTTTCCTATTTCAACGAGCGATATGTCCTCAAAACCACTTTTTCCGATAGCTGATGGGAGGTTTGGGGAAAAATCGGGAGAATGGGTAGGACGGGAAAAGGGGTCATGTCTGAAGAGCGACTATGGTAGGAATTCTCAATTTGTAAAACTTCCTCAAATGATGGTGTGTCCTGGAGATAGAGGCGAATCGCCTCACTTCAACGTGCCTTACCTTCTCCAAGGCTCCACCTCTGCGGGGCAGAGACGAGCAGGATTGCGTGGAATACTTTGGCGAAGCAGACTTTCTGGTTCTTATTAGGCTTGCATACGAGGTGAAAAGTACATTTTTGGGAGGCGCATATCGCCTGTTTGCTCAAAGGAATAAGTCCACCCTATAGCGCCTTTCCCCAAGGTCTAGCAAGAATTCTCTTCTCTTCTAGTTTACAGCCGTTTTTTGCGCCTTCTACCACCGAAGGCAACCCAAGATTGAAATAATCATAAGAAGAGAGGTGGAGATGGAATGAAGTTCGCAATATTTCATGGCTACCAAAGACTTCCTGTGCAAAATTACGTCTACCGTAGTGCGACGACTGTGGCACAAGAAAACCGTCTCATTACCTTACACCCATAACAGCAAAAACACTTTCGAGGAATGATCAAACGTCAACAGCAACCTACAATCATGATCTCTGAGCCATCAGTGGCCAGGCGATCGACTAGTAACTGATCGATTACTCGGTCTCCATTAGATGTGTTGCACGTCGTCGTCGTCCTTCAATCGATAGCGTTCTTCTACCCGGAATGGTTTGCGGACCGGACGTAAACGTCCTCAGAGTCAGCTGATTGGGCCAACTAAGCCGCTAGCGACGACCGGACCGGACAACTAGAAGGCTATGATCTCATCGGCTATAAGCGAAGATGCGCCGACAGGTCCAGATCGATGCATTCGCACTTTTTGATCTGAAAATAACAGCAAAAATAGGTGTAACAAGAAAGTCGATTCACTGGGTCGATTATCGATCGAATGGATGTCTACAAACCTTCACAATGGACTTGGTAATTTGTGGCGGATCTTGTCCAGGGCAGTCCAATGTGACATTGACGGCATCGTAATCTCGAGGCACGCAACGCCGCACACGACTTGAAAACAGCCTTCAGCTTTTTGCTGTTTAGTCGTGGAATAAAGTACGATGCACAAGTACCGTGGCAGTACCTGAAACAAGATATCATAAAGTCCGTAATTGCGGACTAATCGTGATTCTGAAACATTTTTCGCTGCAAGCACGTTCCATTTTTAAGTTCTTATCCTTTTAATGATGCGGGCGTGCCTGGAGCCAGGCCAAGGCAGATTTTCCACATTGTATGCGAGTATCGAGCGATCATCGATGGGAAAGTGGTGGTCTGCCTGCGCCCCAATCCAGTCGTGTCCAAGCTCTATCCCTTCCAGAGCATCATGACGTAGCACAGTTGTGACTTTGACTCAATTTCTCAAAAAGTCTGTTTACTCTTATGGTGTACGAGATGGTTAGACGAGTTTTTTGTGCCACATCGGCGTAAATGCCGTTTGCGACTCCAGAAGTTGTTCGGGCTCCGAGCTCATTTTCAAATTGCCTAAGCCACCAAATCCACTAAAAACTTGTATATAGGGGTAATTCAACATCCTGATTACGAGTATGACACTCATTCTTGGCGCTGGCGCCAAGAGAGGACACTACGATTACCTCCTGGGCTCAGCCTTAGCAGAGCGCAGGTAAAAATAGCAAAAAATCCAGTAAGTGTCGTCCATTAGCCGCCGCAGCCCCGCAAGAAATGAATGTCACAATCGTGATCAGAGATGTTGAATAACCCCCTATATACAGGTTTAGGCGGATTGGGTGATCATGCCACTTTATAAAAATTGAAGCCTCGGAGCCAAATTCTGGGCAGTCCAAACGGCATAGCCCCACAGTCGTCGCAGTTACGGTATGTCGTAATTTTGCACAAGGAAGTCAATGGAAGCCATGAAATTCTTTTTCCTTGCGAACTCCATTCCATCTCAATTAGTCTTCTGATCTCAAATCTGTGGTTGCCCTTCCGCTGCAAAAAGACGCTGGAACCAGAGGAGAAGAGAATTCGTCCAGACCTTGGGAAAAGGCGCTCTAGCGTGGACTTATCCTTTCTATTAGGTTGTCCGGAAAGTTCTCAGTTTTGTGCACCTATTTTTTGTACATTCACTGCTGATTAAAAACTCATTCTGCCTTGCTTCTCAGTAGCACATCCTGTAGAGAATTTCTTGCGCTATCTGATGGTATAATTGCCGTTTCACCATTGCTTGATAAACCCCCTTTTTTCAAGATTTTTTCAAGCATGTGAAAAGAGCACTTCGGACGATTTTTTCTTCGACTATAAATTGGGGCAATCGCAATCGAAACAGCTCAACAAATTAACCAGGTGTGGGGGCCAATAGTGCTAGAGAAAGCACTGTGCGGCAATGGCTCAACAAATTTCGTTCTGGAGATTTCAGCCTTGAAGATGAACCTCATAGCGGTCGACCTAAAGCAATATCTGACGAGGATTTAGGGATTTTGGAGGCTGACCCATCCCAAACAGTTCGAGAGATAGCAGAAGAGCTAGGCTTGGCAAATCCACTGTTGCAGATGGTCTGGAACGCATTGGGAAGGTGAAAAAACTCGACAATTGGGTGCCCCACAATCGGAGTGACCGGCAGGAATCGGCACGTCTCGAGGTTCCTTCTGCATTGCTTTTGCGCAGCAGAAACGACCTGTTTTTGGGCCGAATTGTCACCTGTGATGAAAAATGGGTCATGTATGATAACAGGAGACGTTCCGGACAGTGGTTGGATTTCGACGAACCACCGAGGTAATTTTCAAAGCCGAACCCTCACGAAAAAAAGATTCTGGTCACGGCTTGGTGGTCATCGGCTGGTGACGTGTGATCCACTATAACTTTCTTGTCACCAGGCCGAACGCATCACAGACAGAACCCTACTGTGAAGAAATCGACGAATTGTACCGAAAATTTTGTCAGATGCAGCCAACACTTATCAAAAGAAAGGGTCCGATTCCTTTGCATGACAACCCGCCACACGTTTCACAAATCACTATCCATAAATTGAACGAATTGGGGGTTGAAGTTCTACCTCAACCGCCATATTCTCCAGACCTTTCACCAACCGACTATCACCTTTTCAAACATTTTCAGAACTTCCTTGCTGGAAAATACTTCATCAATCAGGACCAGGCAAAAAAAGCCTTAGTGGATTTCGTGAATTTTCGACCACCCAGTTTTACTTTAATGGGATTTCTCGACTGCTGTCACATTGGCAAAAGTGTGCTGATTCGAATGGTGCCTATTTCGATTAAATCCGATGAGTATTAAAAAAGTTACGATCGTTTAAAGTGAAACACCCAAAACGCTGAGAACTTTCCGGACAACCTAATAGCAAACCTGGGTT